TTAACCTTAAACCGCATAAACACATTTCATTACACCAAATACACAAAATAATGTTCTTTTTAGCAGCATCATATGACCCCTTTAACTTCTCTAAAATGTAAAAAAGCTCTTTGCTGTTGCACTGTACACATACTATACAATTCAAGGTTTTTTGTAGCATTTTTTTTTCTTTCATATGTGCTTAAATGGGCTCCTTATATCATTTGGTTCTTTGGTGTCCTTTTGGAGTCCTTTTTTGGAAAGACATCTAAATGGATCTTGAAAAAAGCTTGCAGAAAATACAGATTTTTGAGAATCACCCTTCAATCTTTTGTTTACCTTGCCGTTTTGTTTTGAAACAAGATAAATGGTCTATGCTTAATTTCATGAAGTGTGCGGTTAATCGCGATTAATCACAGAAAACGGGTGATTAAGTAGATAAAAATTTTTTATCTATTGACAGCCCTAATTTTAACTCAAAGAATCAAACTAAATTTTAAGCTTAACACTTACCCGCACAACAAACACAGGGCATTTGACTTTGTTGGTGGAGGTTCTGACAAACTTTGTTGTAACCGCATTCATAGGGTTATTAAGCATACCAACTGGAGGAACAAGCTGCAAAAAATTATGAGAAATATATGAACTTGAAGAAAAAAAACATAAGAACTAACCAAAGTAATAGTAGTAGTGAAACATACATCATTGTAGCAGCCTGCATCTGGTTGAATAGCACGGAAATCTCGATGATCTCGTTGCCACAATCGATTCTGAAATGGAGTAATTTGCCAGATGTTACATTTGCCAGATGTTACATTGGCACACCGTTACATTTTGTCAGGCTTATACCTCAAGATATCTAATGACAGACGGATTATAATCAATGGTCTTGCGGTTCACAGCTTTCCTCATGCGCTTGCCATCGAAAGTGAGCTGCTGCATAGCCTGCTGCTGGGCAAAGTCCGGCCTCTTGTAGAACAGCTGACGAGGTGCCTGGTGCTGGAACCGAGGCATATGGAAGAACCGGGGAGGTGAGCCAATATCTGTTGCCATAGTGACAGTTTTGCAACACCTAAGGATGTGAGGAGAAATAAATTTACTATGAGTTTAGAGTTTATTACATTGGCTCACTTTAAATAAACACAAAACAACCAATTGCGGAGGTCAATGTAAAATTTAACACAGAGACAGAAAAGACATTAACACATCAGTTTGATTTTACGCTTTAAGTGTAGTCAGCAATGGATACGAACGGGTTAAATGTGCCAATATTTCAAACCACTTGGGAGTGTTAAACTAATACTCTAAGTGGTTTGAAATATTGGCACATTGAACCCTTAAGTATCCATTGCTGACTACACTTAAAGCGTAAAAACAAATTTTTATGGTTAATAAGTTTGCTCCCAAAATCCAAAGCTAGCTTGCAGCAAAAAAAAAAAAAAAAGGTAGACAACCGATTGGTAAATAAGAAACACATCTAATTCTACCGTGCAAGAAACTGACTACATTACTTAAGTTAACCAAAACAGTACTTCGGGGAATAAACAGCAATTAAGTGAAGATGGATGACAGACCACAAAGGTTAATAGCCTTTGTAATCATAAAGAAATTCTTTATCACAATTATACATTGGTTTCCATAAAAAGTTGCTCCAAATGCAAGCTGCGGCATTTTGCAAGTGATATCAAAGCAAACCCAAGCTGAATTTAAGAGCTTTTTCCAGATTTACGGAGAGGATCATTTTACATGTCAGAGAAATTACATCAATGTTTATTGATGTCGAGCATCTGGAATCACAGAGTAAAAGACCTTTAAATGCATAATACTTTTCACAGTAATACTTCAAAATGAAATCAATCATTAATAAAATACGGCAGAATCTAAAACAGTTTTGGTTTTAATCTAGGCATGTGTAATTTGAAGCACTGAGAGCAAAATAAATATACCCTGCATAACTTTAAATATGTTCAAAAAAGCAGCACAAACATCTTTGTACGAGTACAAACATACTAAGTATGAGTACAGTTGACGTTCTTTCAAATATTAAAAATATGCAATCACTAAAGACATCCTCCAGTTAAAATCATTATCAAAATGGTCTGGATAGTGGAGTGCCAATTTCACTGCCTTTCCAATAAAAAAATAAAAAATACACACACAACAGTGCACACATAAAAGATGGAATTACATGAATGACTGAGTGCATCTAACAGGCTCGACACCATGTATAGGACATTTCACTGTAAATGCAAAAGAAACGAAATTCAAAATCACTAGTTATATTCAGTCATTGCAACAGAACCAGGTATATTTCCCTGTGATTTTAAGTAGATGTGTTTTAGTTGTAATTAGTACGCAATAAATACATTGTGTGTAATAATTAGTATACTAAAGCTGGCGAGCAATCATTATTGAAATTTAAATCCTAAAATGCAGATATACATCACATTCTGTAACATTTTGTTTTCCTAAAAAAATATAAATCAGGCCAGTTTCTTGATGTAACTCACTCATAAAATAAAAAAGGAGATCTCAGTGATGGATTACTTCTCGATAAAAATACAACTCATGTATCCTATTTAGACACCCTTAGAGTTGACTTGGGTCAAATACATATGTGTACTAAACCATTAAAACCAGTCCGTGTTATAAGAGTGAATGATGCTGCTAATGCCTAGGAAAATGCTTCTGAGAAAAAAAAACATGAGCAATTATATAAAAAAAAAAGGATCCATTTACTCAAATGTATGTATGTATGTATGTATGTATGTATATATATATATATATATATATATATATATATACACGTGTGTATATATATATAGTGGGTATGTGTATCAGACATCAAAGAGCAACAAAACTGCACCCACTTTACAAATGATGACAGTGTTAAAAATATAACAAAAGATTAAGTATAACAAAAAATTCTGAAGTGAAATTAGGAATTGCTTGTGATCTGCAAGCACATCAAACATGATGGAAAGACACAAAAGACACATAATGTTGGGAATTTGTTTTATGCATGGGCTTCACAGTACAGTTCATCATCTATGAAGTAGTATCCTTTCTGCCTTAGGTTTTCCTCACATTCTGTACACACGAAACAGTCTAGGTGACGAAACTTATCCTGAATCTTCACAACCATCCCACTGAGAAAACACACAGAGCCAAAAGAAAGAAACAGGGAGATAGAAATGTTAACCTGTTAAAAATAGTTGTGCTGCTTTTATATATATATATATATATATATATATATATATACACGTGTGTATATATATATAGTGGGTATGTGTATCAGACATCAAAGAGCAACAAAACTGCACCATAGACAGAACAGCTGTTGTCCCTTCAGGAGGGGAAAAACAAAACAAATTCTGGAGCAGTGATTCTCAACTGGTGGGTCGCAAGTAAATAAAAATGAGATATCTGATTAATTAGGAGGCTGCCAACACATACTAGTCATTAAATGACCTCATCCTTAAAAACACTAAACATAAATACACAGGTTTGTTTGTTTTTTAACCTTACAGCAAGAATTAAAATGATTTGTGCTGACCATTGTGTTGTTGTTTTTTTGCACTGAATTGGCTATCGAGTACGAAGCCATTAAACTTCAAAAGACATGTAAAGAATTCAATCTTGCATATCAACTGTGTAGACCACGTTAATATGATTAAACATCAATGTGTCTTTTTTACATTTCACAGTGTGTTGTGTAACCACTTGATGTCCAACATAAAATTTGACACCTGAAACAAAACCAGCTGTGAAGAACTGTCCTAAGCCCTATTCGCACGGGATTAGTATTATCTGGAGACCTTGTGTGATTTTGAAATGAACCCCCCACCTCTGAATTTCGTGTGGTGCATTCACACGGGATAAGCGAAGCCTGTGATTTTACTCGAATTTACCGATTTATCTACCGGATACCCGGATGTCAAGGCTTTGAGAGTCCCGTTCTATGGTCCAGATGGATTAAAAAAAAAGAAAAGAAATTAATATAGTTTCGTACCCTGTGACATTTACATTTCACCAGGTTAAAATAGTATCTCAAGATTTATGCTTGATTTATTTGTAACACATTAACCTCAAAACCTTTTCAGCCTTTTCTATCTACAAATTGTATGGTGTAGCGATATAACAGCACCCAAAATACTATCAAACACTCCAACGCAGCTCCATTCTTCGCGAAAGATGGATAAAAAAGCGCACAGGAAACAAAAACCTCGAAAAATGATATACGACCCGCCAAATGCTGGCCGAATCACAGAGATGCCGATTCGCACGGGACTAATATTATAACAGGACCTCGGTGCTCGGCGAAATATGGTAGGTCTTTTGCGGGGGAATTTTTACTTTACAAATTACAGACATGGCCGATTCGCACGGGATTAAGATCACAGACAACCTCCGCAATTATTACAAATGACTGGCGGTCACCAGGTAATACTAATCCCGTGCGAATAGGGCTCTAGTGTACCCTAACCCCCTTAAAGCTTATGCAAATGATTAATTTGTGAGGAGGGAGAAAACAAACAAACAAAGAAAGCAAATTCAAACAGTACCCAGTTCTTCTGCACACAAGTAATCACAAAGATTAATGATAGAAAAGAAAAAAAAAAGAAAAAAAGTACTTCTATATGATGAAAAAGTGAGAACACATTTTAATACCAGTATGACTAAACGTGTATTTCGCTACCCGGTCATAGATGCAGTATATATAGTTTCGTTTTATTTCATTTCAAAAAATGTTTAGATTAAACCCAATGCAGCTGTATTTCTGAAATAGGGCTGAATTTAAGAGCTGTTAATGGAAAACATAGTACATACTGTGCACTTTCGCTAAAGGGATATAAAAATGTGAAGAAAAAAAAACCTTCAGTTATTTGGGTAACATTGAGGGGTTTGTGAATGCCAGGAAAAAAATTTATAGGAATTGTTTAATGTCTTTTCTTTAGGTGGCGTTACATACTGTAACGTTACTGATGTAATAACGCAGTGCTAAACTAAAAAAACATGAGTCGAATATTAAAGACATTTATCTCTTAACTGTAGACACTAAAACAAAACGTAATTTGGCGACTAATGCATAATTTATACCTGTAGTTTCTTGTTCGAGGTCGAAAATGTCTCTCTTCAGTTCGAGGACTGTTAGCCTTTAGCCAGCTAACACAATACCTGATGCTACCACAGGCCCTTACAAACAGACCACATTTTCACTGTCTACTAGAATGTGAACAGAATCTCCTTACAAATAAATGTGTTTATTTGAGAGCAGAATCTGTCCGCTGAAGCAGATAGCTGTGTATTGGCTGTGAGAGTGGTTATTTCTTTCCTGTCTCCCGCACAGCGTTTTAATGGCGCCCGGTCAATACTTGAGAAACTCACCCAAAATATCCAGTGCTGACTGAGTCTATTAATCTAAATTTAACACACAACTCTTCCTTGTGGAGACTATTGTAATGTCTTTCTGAAAATGAAATGTCAACTGTCTCCAACGCGCGCGTTAATTCGCTATTTTTCGCGTTAAATTAGCCCCCAGCCTCCATCGCGAGGCTTCTTCTTCTTCTTCTTCTTCTAATAACGTTTTATGGCGGATGGCAAACCAACTTCTGGTGCATTTACCGCCACCAACTGGACTGGAGTGTGGAGCACTAATAAATACATATTTATATTTATCTATATTTTATAAAAAAAAAAAATTCAATTGCCTGATTACAAAAAATACATTGACCTGTTTCATGTTTTCCTATATTAAACAGAGAGTAATTTAATCTAGTATGCCCTATTCGGATGCGAGAAATAATTGTATCTTCTTTCCTATTCCTAAAAACACTTCTTCCATTTCCTACTTACTGCTGAATATTATAAATTTGTCTGCCCTTGCTTTCACAGTTCCATACTTCTTGCCAGTTTTTATCGCGAGGCTTCCTCTCATCTCGTTGCTTTGAACTCCGAAACGTCATGACGTCAGACGTATAGGCGGGAGAACTGCGTCACTGCATGTTTATTTACCTGTCTGGTCAAATGCGTTTAGAACAAAAGTTGTTACATACTACGCCATTTTTAATTTTATTTACCTGTCTGGTCAAATGCGGTTAGAACAAAAGTTGTTACATACTACACATTTTTTTTTATAAGTACCGGTAGTTATATTATTACTACTACTTAATATTGCTTATTTATTTAGTTATTTCTTTGATTATTTGGGTTAGTTAACCCAGAACTTCTACTTACTCTCGTCTACTTACTCTCACCTCATTCTAAACACATATGACGTTATGTTATCAGTTAAACATAAAAGGAACACAGAATGCAATTTACATACAATGACACTGAATGGAAACGATTTCTTTAAATTTGGAATACACAACTGTCCATTAGGTGGGGCTATGATTCGATTACCATAAATACACAGCATATGAGATCTTTATTTTTTCATATCGCTGTACACTATTGCCAACACATCGTGTTGCAGCTGCAGATAAGTTATTCGACTACTGTTTGGACTGTGACTTTTTATTCAATGGCAAAACGTCAGCATAGGCATGAAATCTAGATTGGGTCAACTGTATGTGAAGCCAAGGTTTCAAGTAACAGAGCTATTTTTAATCCTGCACTGGTTACTGAAGGAAAGGAAGGCGATACGATTATTGACATAAATGGGCGGGGTAATTTAGCTGCATGTGTGTTCACTGCACGTTTTCCCTGCCATAGGGACTGTGGTGGTGGTGAGGATGATGAGGTTCTGACACATCCGCTTCGAGGATCATCAACGCGCCTAATCTTCAGGTCAGAATGGTTTCTAAATCTGAGCTCAATGTTTATCTCGTGTTTTGAATGAGGGTGGAAGACTAATGGTGCCTTCAAGACATGTCGGATAGATCGTATTTACGAGTTGAACGCACATGAACGCCACCACAAAGTCGTTATTACGAGTGGGAAACTCGAAATTGTCTTTAAAGGGGTCATATGATGCTGCTAAAAAGAACATTATGTTGTGTATTTGGTGTAATGAAATGTGTTTATGCGGTTTAATGTAAAAAACCCACATTATTTTCCACATACTGTACATTATTATTTCTCCTCTATGCCCCGCCTTTTTGAAACGCGTCGATTTTTACAAAGCTCATCGGTCTGAAAAAGCGAGGTGTGCTGTGATTGGCCAGCTATCCAGTGCGTTGTGATTGGCCGAATACCTCAAGCGTGAGACGGAAATGTTACGCCCCTCACCATACTGTTGTAGTCTGACTTGAACGCACCTGACGTCGTAATTACGACTTGTCAACTCGTAAGTAGGAACGTCCCAGGAGGACTTGAACGCAGCATAAGCATGTCCGTGCTGTTAAACATGGTGATGGAGCATGCCCAGTAAACAAGTTCAATACTTTACTGTACATTCAGGTTACTGTACAAAAGTGTTGTTCCGTTTGTTATTTTACCTTTGTTCTAAACAAATAATATTCTCTCCTCTCTTATTTAATCAACAGCTCACCAGACTTGTCTGTGTAAGGGCATTAAGGTTGAAACATCTGACCATTCTCCTTGCTGATGCAGTATATATAACACTTTAGTATCTGACCTAGTGTATGGATCTATTGTAATAACACTAGTACCTACAAAATTTAAATGAAATTACTACATATATTAAATGAAACATTAAGTTATTTTTCCTCTGTGAATGCAGGACCCAATGGACCTGTGATTATGATTATTCAAAACTTATCTTCCTTCAAGATACACACACATATAGTCACATATATGTGAGCATATAGTTAGAGATGCTGCAGTTAAGCACAATTACAGACTGTCTGCTGATCAGTAATGCCCGGTCAGCCTGTAACAATGAACTCATCCAGAAGGAAGCGATCACTCTTTGTATTAATGTTTCCAAGCAGCAACCCTTTCCCTCTATGTGGGTAAGCACTTTGCGTGTACCTGTATATGATTACCCTCAAGAAGACCTGTACAAGTATTTTGACTGCTGTGCTGATGCCATAGCCAGTGAGGCAGAACGAGGTGGCCGCACTGTTGTGTACTGTAAGAATGGACGCAGTCGCTCAGCTACTGTCTGTGTGGCCTATTTAATGAAGCACCAGGGTCTCACCTTGACCGATGCCTTCCAGGTATGAATAGTGTTTATGTCAAATTGAATTCTGATATGAAACAGTTCTAGTCAGGACACATGCAGCTTTTGTGTACATTTTTTTTTTTTTACTTTAAAGTTGTTGTTTTTTTAAAAGGTATTTTATCCTTGATTTATGTGTGCAGTCATTAAAGGGATACTCCACCCCAAAATGAATATTGTGTCATTAATCACTTACCCCCATGTCGTTCCAAAACCGTAAAAGCTTCCTTCGTCTTCAGAACACAATTTAAGATATTTTGGATGAAAACCGGGAGGCTTGTGACTGTCACATTGACTGCCAAGTAAATTACACTGTCAAAGTCCAGAAAAGTATGAAAAGCATCGTCAGAATAGTCCATCTGCCATCAGTGGTTCAATCTGAATTTTCTGAAGCGATGGGAATACTTTTTGTACGCAAAGAAAACAAAAATAACGACTTTATTCAACAATTCGTCTCCTCTGTGTCTCTCTGCATCACCGTAGCGCCATTTTGGAGAATATCCACTGAACGCAAGCAGCGTACGCTATTCTGTGTCAGCCGCGACACAAGGATACGTTTTCTACGTGTATTTATGCTTTGATTTGAACGAAAACAGTGCATCCGTGTGTCGCGGCTGACACAGAAGAGCGTATGCTGCTTGCGTTTTTGTTTTCTTCGCGTACAAAAAGTATTCTCATCGCTTCAGAAAATTCTGATTGAACCACTGATGGCAGATTGACTATTCTGACGATGCTTTTCATACTTTTCTGGACTTTGACAGTGTAATTTACTTGGCAGTCAATGTGACAGTCATAAGCATCCCGGTTTTCATCCAAAATATCTTAAATTGTGTTCCGAAGACGAACGAAGCTTTTACGGGTTTGGAACGACATTGGGGTAAGTGATTAATGACAAAATTTTCATTTTGGGGTGGAGTATCCCTTTAATGAAATATTTTTCTTTGTTGCTGATATTTTATTGGTTTTTATTATAATAAGGAAAAGCAGACATATTGGCAGCAAGGTACAAAAATAAACAAACAAACTATAATATAGTATAAAATGCGCAAAATAAAGGCAGCCACAAGATATCAAAATATTCATCACTCATATTATTATCATTGCTGAATGTAGCCTAATTGATAATGGAGAACCACAGCATTCTAGATTTTTGTGCCAGAATTTAACATTGTTTACCTCTTCTGTAATTCCTATTCTATCAGGTAGTAAAAAGTGCTCGATCAGTAGTTGAGCCTAACCCGGGATTCTGGACTCAGCTGGAGCGATATGAACAGGATCTGAAGATCAGGAGGTCAGCCAGCCACAGATCCAACCTCCCTACACTTTAACTTCATACCAACATTTTCTGATATGACATTCTCAACCTTCAGGGCTTAATAATAGCTAAGGCCTTAAGTGACGTGTCACTGTTCAAGTTTGTTGCAAATTATGAATCCCTTATAATAATAATAATAATAAGCAGGGTTTGAAATTAATACCCGCCAACCCGCCAAATGCGGGTAAAAATCAGCTGTGGCGGGTAACGCTGTCAAATCACTAGCCAGTTTGGCGGGTTACTTTTCGTAAATTATGTTCACTCATTAATTTCTTTGGGAAGTTCATGCAACTTGTGAGATGTCATGACATTAAATCAACCGTTTAAATTATTCGGTTCATTTGCAATGACTCACTTAACAGTGACTTGCTGCCACTTACTGGCGCATTTAATTTCACATTTTCACAAAATTATTTAATTTTAATTTTAAAGTATCTTTTAATTTTTAAAATAATTTAAATATCACTATTCAACATTTCATGTTTAAAATATCAAAACATTATTTATGCATTTGTAACTGCATCCATGTGTAAATACATCTAAATGCCACTTCATATTCAACTTCTGCAAAGATGAATTTTATTGATACTGATTTCATTTGTTTAGTAACAGCCTAAATGTAGTATTGTTATAATTGCCTGATTAAATGTAAGAATTTGACTCAAAAGATGAAGCACACTTTTAGTAAAAATGGATTTATAAAGGTAAAAATGCCCATAAAAGGTAAAAATCAATCTAAACTTATTGGAAAAGTTTAATTTCTATCACTGCTGTGAACTGACCACACAGAATATGAAGAATATCAAAAACTTTAGGAGTCAGCTGTCCACGGTATCCTTAAGATATCAGCACAATAACACACTCAGCAAAATATTGTCTAATTATCTTTATCAATAAAATCCCAGAAAATATTGAGATATTATTTTTTGTCAATATCGCACACCCTTAGTATCGACACAAAATGATTTGCAACAGTCGCTTTGTCACGCCCAGTGTAGACAGCCTCAAGCTGTTGGTTTATTTCGGGGTTTTTTTGGGTGGTAGAAGTTATGAATGGCCGGTAACTTAAAAATTTAGTAGCCAAATTGGCTGGTGAGTAAAAAAGTTAATTTCAATCCCTGATAATAAGGATATGTGCCTTAAATGATTGATTATCCTCAGGTTTTTTATTTATTTGCATTTTCTAATTGTAAATTGCTTTTATTTTTATTATTATTTTTTAAATTAAATTAAATTAAATTATTATCCTTAGGTTTATATTCCTTGCAGTATGAGTAGGCTGTCTGCTAATTTGTAAAAAAAATGTTTTCAAATATTTGTTTCCCCATTTGGCTTATATATGTGTTTATAAATTACAGATTATATAAGAAATATTATCATGATATATGTAGAAGTATAATCATCATAAGTACCACCCTACATTTTGACAGATTTTTGGTTATTAAAGCAGGATTAAGGCTCCTAAGAAAGCCTTTTTCTGCTAAACTTAAAGGCAAGGTTTTTTGGGTTTTTTTTTTTCAGAGGCATCCCTTTAACAAACCTAGAAAACCTCTAAACTGCTAGAAACAAAATATTAAATATTTTAAATAAAAAATAAATACTTAAATGTTTTATATAAATGTTGTAAACATTTATTTTTTATAAAAAAATGTTTATATAAAAAGAAAGTTCTTCCACTTCACCATTCCACAGAGAAGATATTCATCAAAGTGTAAATTTAAAAGTGCTTAGAGTCCATTTAAAATATAGTTTACATCTCTTTATTTCCTTTTTCTATGAAGTATTCCTTTACTCAGTATAATATTGTTTTTAATATGAATTATGTTAGATCTGTAATTGTCCATTCTCAGGAATGTCCCCAGTGCTGTCAGGTTAAAAACTAATATAAATTCATAAAGGTCATGCTAAAATTTCTTAAATCATTTAACAAATCTAACGTTGAATGTTGTACATTGTACTGTAGAACTGTAAGATGCATGTCTTAAATAACACTATATGTTAAGCCTTGTCTTACAATATTTATTATTATTTTGTGTTATCCAATAGAGGAATCAAATAACGGGACTATGAAGGTGTGTGTTCATTTTATAGCCTCATTAAAACATAATGTGAAACATTTGTCTACTTTATTTACAGACTGACAGCATTACTTTCCCTAAACATGTAGATAACAGGAAAATAAGAGCAGTTTTAATTTATGTTTATTAAATTTCAATCTCTATACACCAGAAGAACTATAGGGAGCACATTGAGTTTTCTGATTTATATTTTCTGTAATAGGCAAAATAGGGTAGAAAGTCAGGGGTCTAAACTTTATCCCACCCCTGACGAACGCTATCCAATCCAAATAGCTGGACACTTTGGTGTAGATGCCAAGTTTGTCTTTTTGCCCGCAGCCTTCTCTCCAGGACACCAGACCTATGAGGAACCATGTATCGTGAAACAATGTCATCATTGGACCACCACTGTCCCCCTCACAAGCATCTTTGATCTGCCCCAGCACTCCCCCACAAAGCATGTTCTGAGTGAGGTTGTTCAACATATGCCTGGAACACTCTTTGTTCTCTATAATTGGAATTTCAATGAAGTTGAGAGTTGAACTGAAGCGATTAGAGGTCTTGTTGTCCTTCCCCCAGCCATTGACGACTGTGACAGTACCGTTACGATGCAACATTCGTTCCGCCAGGTTCTGGGTAGGGAGGCATGCTGGGAGTATGTATATGGAAAATTTGGCTGGTGTGGCCAAGCGCAACAGAGCTATATCATTGTCCACAGTGAAAGGGTTGTATTGTGGGTGGGCGATAGGTTGTTTTACAGGAAGGGTCATCTCAGTTCCTTCAATCCTAAATAGGTCGTAGTCACCTGGAGAGACATAACACTGTACTATCTAGAGTGTCTTTTGGCATTCCATTTAACTTCTGAGGCCTAAGCTTAAAGGGGTCATATGATGCGATTTCAAGTTTTCCTTTCTCTTTGGAGTGTTACAAGCTCTTGGTGCATAAAGAAGATCTGTAAAGTTGCAAAGACTAAAGTCTCAAATCCAAAGAGATATTCTTTATAAAAGTTAAAGAGTCAGCCACGCCTACCTAAAACGGCTCGTTCTAACACGCCCCCACATATCTACGTCACTATGTGGAAATATTAGCATAATGCCGCCCAAATGTGAGGTTTAATGTGTTTTTTTAACGTTAAAGCATGTCAACATATTCTGTTACACAAAATACACAAAATAATGATCTTTAAAATAGCATCATATGACCCCTTTAAACAACATCACTCTCAGCTATGTGTTCTAGTACTTGTCATGTATGCACTTTATTTTTTGCAAATTTCTTTAGTAATGCATCTTCTAAAAACATAAATATAAGGGAGGATAAAAAGTCTTACACTGTGAAGAAATACTTAAATTTTACCAAAATGTCTTACATACCCAGCCTGACACTGAACCTTGTACTTGTCTCTAGGCAGTGAGCAGCAGTGAGAACCCAGTTTTCATCAATCAGAACTCCACCACAATGAAAATTGCCCAAATGATTGAGTATAAGAGCCTACAGATTACTATGAGGGGCCGTATAGGCCATAATTATTGAAAAGCCTCTTACAAACACTAGTGAAACGAAAAACATTGATAAACCTTAGTGAAATTCATTCATACGCATTACTGAAAACCTCTTACATACACTAGTGAAAACATTGATCAACCTTAGTGAAATACATTCATATGCATAACTGAAAAACCTCTTACATACACTAGTGAAAACATTGATCAACCTTAGTGAAATACATTCATATGCATAACTGAAAAACCTCTTACATACACTAGTGAAAACATTGATCAACCTTAGTGAAATACATTCATATGCATAACAGAAAAACCTCTTACAAACACTAGTGAAAACATTGATCAACCTTAGTGAAATACATTCATATGCATAAATGAAAAACCTCTTACATACACTAGTGAAAACATTGATCAACCTTAGTGAAATTCATATAAGCATAAGTGAAATAAGTAAATATTTCAGTAGATGATGAGAGCTAATTTCACTTGAAACGGAAGCTGTGTCAACACTTCCGTTTAATTTGGCGCGTGTCTCACAAACTCTTCAATGGCGGTTAGTCGCAAGTTGTCTGAAGCTATTAGTAATATAAACAACATTTTACCGTCTTCAAGTACAATTCCGAAAGTGGGATAAAACAGCGCGATGTTACAGAATCTACTGAAATCTTTACTTATTTCACTTATGCATATGAATGAATTTCACTACGGTTGATCTTTTCGTTTCACTCGTGTATGTAAGAGGTTTTTCAGTTATGCATATTAATGTATTTCACTAAGGTTGATCAATGTTTTCACTAGTGTATGTAAGAGGTTTTCAGTAATGCATGAATGAATTTCACTAAGGTTTATCAATGTTTTTCGTTTCACTAGTGTTTGTAAGAGGCTTTTCAATAATTATGGCCTATACGGCCCCTCATAGATTACACACAATGCATTTTTTAAATATATACTGGAGCACAAAATTTGCTTTGGCTGAATATTTGGTATAACATAAGACATCAGAATTAGCTCTGATAAAACATTTGGCATTATTACATATGATTACACAGATATTACATATGAATCAAAAATACCTGCCAGGGACTCTCTCCCTTTTTGCCAACTGTACCTCCTAAAACCCACGGCTGTAAACCTACTAAAGGCTTATTAATATAGGATGACTTTGCGATCCGAATCTGGCCACATGAAGCCTCATCTGTAAATGACAAAGATGCACATAGATCATAATTCATCTACTAAATGGTAGAAATTATTTGAAGATATATTTTTATATAATATGTTTATATATATTTTTATGATGTATTTCTAATAATATTAATTATATGACTGTTAAATAGCCCACATTTATGAATAAATGTTGCACAAAAACAGTCTTATAAATGTCCACAAATGCAGAAGTACAGTCTTGAGTACAAATGCAAATATCTAAGCATTAATTTGTGCACTGTAGATACAAAATCACCTGTGTGTATTTGTAATATTCACAAACCATATTGTTTATATTAGCAGTTTGTTGAGGTAACTTACTTTTGGCAATACATTTTCTAGAAATGTCTTGTAGTTGGTATCCTTTAA